AGGCATCTTGCTATGTTTGCAGCTTGGTCAAGTGGGCGCATGTCATCGACCACTAACATAACCAAGGAGAAGTAGAACCTGAGTAGGACTCACCCTTTTGCATTACGGTCAAGTGAAAATGAATACCACTTCTCGACTGTTTTTGCACGGTAGATGTAAACAATGATATCAGCGATATCATCCAATCAATGGAGCTTCCGGGTGTGGTTAACCTCCCAACCGCAGTAGCGGTTGTTCAACCAGTGCGGATGATTCTTACTCACTAGGGAACCTTTGGCAAGCTTCCACCCCTTTACTTATGAGTGATAACCCCTATTGACTGTGCATCTGAAATAGCAGCCAGCGTTGTGGATTGACTCCACGGGGGAAATTTGCGATGAGAACACTTCCTCATAGTCGCTTCGCCAGACCCTTGGCACAGGCTCTTCGCACTTTTTGCCTCTGTTGTGTTTCTCAATTTTACTGTGCCGTGGCGCTTGTGCGGCTTAGAATGATTTACAAACATTTGCTATTTGACAACACTTCACATGGTCGTGCCTTGAAACTCCAGCGTTCTGTCACCTTTTTTAATCTTACCCGGCTATAGTAGTCATCCTTTTCTCCATGATGGTCAAGTGAGCGCATGTCATCGACCACTAACATAACCAAGGAGAAGTAGAACCTGAGTAGGACTCACCCTTTTGCATTACGGTCAAGTGAAAATGAATACCACTTCTCGACTGTTTTTGCACGGTAGATGTAAACAATGATATCAGCGATATCATCCAATCAATGGAGCTTCCGGGTGTGGTTAACCTCCCAACCGCAGTAGCGGTTGTTCAACCAGTGCGGATGATTCTTACTCACTAGGGAACCTTTGGCAAGCTTCCACCCCTTTACTTATGAGTGATAACCCCTATTGACTGTGCATCTGAAATAGCAGCCAGCGTTGTGGATTGACTCCACGGGGGAAATTTGCGATGAGAACACTTACTCATAGTCGCTTCGCCAGACCCTTGGCACAGGCTCTTCGCACTTTTTGCCTCTGTTGTGTTTCTCAATTTTACTGTGCCGTGGCGCTTGTGCGGCTTAGAATGATTTACAAACATTTGCTATTTGACAACACTTCACATGGTCGTGCCTAGAAGCAAAAAGTGCGAAAGCCTGTAGCCAGTTGCGCCAATGCGACTATGATTAATTCTCACGCAATCTCCTCGTGGAGTCAAATCCACAATGCCTGGCTGCTTTTATCAATGCACACGTCAATAGTGTTACACCAGTAAAGGGTGGAAGCTTGCCAAAGGTTCCCTAGTGAGTAAGAATCATCCGCACTGGTTGAACAACCGCTACTGCGGTTGGGAGGTTAACCACACCCGGAAGCTCCATTGATTGGATGATATCGCTGATATCATTGTTTACATCTACCGTGCAAAAACAGTCGAGAAGTGGTATTCATTTTCACTTGACCGTAATGCAAAAGGGTGAGTCCTACTCAGGTTCTACTTCTCCTTGGTTATGTTAGTGGTCGATGACATGCGCTCACTTGACCATCATGGAGAAAAGGATGACTACTATAGCCGGGTAAGATTAAAAAAGGTGACAGAACGCTGGAGTTTCAAGGCACGACCATGTGAAGTGTTGTCAAATAGCAAATGTTTGTAAATCATTCTAAGCCGCACAAGCGCCACGGCACAGTAAAATTGAGAAACACAACAGGGGCAAAAAGTGCGAAGAGCCTGTGCCAAGGGTCTGGCGAAGCGACTATGAGTAAGTGTTCTCATCGCAAATTTCCCCGTGGAGTCAATCCAC